GTTTTAGGACCTAATCTAGCATTTTAGAGAACATTTTGTTTTTTCTATTAAATTATCTGTCAAAATACGCACTTTTATGTATTTTCTGGTCAAAAACTAAAACATTGACAAAAATCTTTGTAAAATTATTTTTTAAAATTACATCTTTTCCTGCATGTTTTTCATAATATTAGAATATTTAGGATTTTTTTTTAAAAAAACTAAAAAGTTTTGACGAAAAACTTTTAAAACAAAAAATTTAAACAAAATATTCACTTGGCAGCATGTTTTAGGACAATCTTGCATTTTAAGGCATTTTTGGGACTTTCTATTTTTTGCATTTTTTCATGATAGTAAGGGTATTGTTGGTGGTATTTTGAATTATTCAGATAAAATGTTTTTTTTTTTGTTTTAGCATAAATTACTTCTTGGCATGTTTTGGGGCATAAATTTGCATTTTGAGGCAATTCTAGCTATTTTTATTCCTTTGTTTACATTTTTTCATGATAGTAAGACTATATTCTTGCTTGTTTTTGGTGATATTTTGAATTGAACAGGTATGATGGTTTTTGGAGTTTGGTTGTAACCATGTGCCATACAGCTCAGTCTCTGAAGAATCTAAGGAAATCACACAGGTGTGTAGTAAAATTTAAGAAAAAAAAAAAATCACAATTTCACAGTTAGAGGTGTAAAGAGTACTAAAATATTCTACTTAACAAAAGTTCTACTAATCTGTTGAAGGTTTAATTTATCTCCTAGCAGTTAAAGCCTTGGGTAAGACATAACACTGACCTTTAAAGTTTTATCTGGAGAAAGAATTAAAGTCACAGCAGTCAGTTTGAACATAATGCTGTGGCTAATTAATGTAAACTTTCTATGTGTGTCACAATTACTTTGCCTGAATTCAACCCAGGTCACCACAGTCAGATGTATCCCCTTAGGCTAATGGCCATTTTTCCTCTACTTTTCTGTTATTATCAAACATACTTCTTATTCTGTGACCTATAACTGTACTTTTATCATTACTATTTATTATTTGTCTTTTTGTATTTTGGAGACATCAATCCAAGTCCAAAAACTAAAACCTAAGCCCAAAAAAAGCCCAAAAACCAGAGTAAAAAAGTCTCTTGTTGATTGAATGACTCAAATTGTAAGTCGCTTTGCATAAAAGTGTCTGCTAAATGTATTGTATTACATTTAATTAGTAATATTTTATTTACTTTAAAACATCTGTTAGTGTCCATTTAATGTTCTAAACATCTGTCTCAATCTGTTACAATAACAACATATCTTCACACAAACCTGGATTCATTGCAGTAATGAGAAAGTGGTCATAAAATACAAATAAACGTAAATAAAATTAATTTCTTTACTAAAAATTCATGTTTTAATACTACAATTACTTCCATGGTGTACTAGTGATTTTATGAAATTGAACCAAAAAGTAAAACTAGTGTTACTGTTAGAGAAAAGTCCAATAAATACCTCAAAATGCAAGTTTATGCCCCAAAACATACTCCAAGTGAATAATTTGTGCTTAAAACCTCTTTTTTTACAGTAAAACACTAAGTAGTAAAAAGTAAGCTATAAGTAAAAAGCTAAGTTAAAAAAAAACATCCACAACATTTACAAAGTTCTTAAAAACCAACCACAATACGTTCACAATGAATGAAATAACTTTTGACTCTTTTAATAGCAAAAACACTCCACATTTACAAAGTCCATAAATACACACTTCAATACAAGTCAGATTACAACAGTAATGCAGCTTTATTTTAACACTTCAGGTGGTAAAGATGGACAAATCATGTACTCACAACCATGTGTGCTCACAGGATTCAAGAAGGCCCCATCATCAGGAGAGGAACGGCTTCATTAAACCTCTTCTTTCGGCCTGAAACACAAGATGTAATAAATAAAACATTCCACATATATGCTCTCAGATGATACCATCTCTGACTGGGTAATTTACCAGCTCGTCTTTGCTCTTCCCAGTCCCGATGTCCTGTAAACATTTAACAACACTGTAAATGCTGTCCAAAAGTTTCATTCCCGGTGACAAAAATAACTTTAAATGTTTCTTTTCTTACTTGAGCAGCTCAAAAACGGCCAGGACGATGTCATTCACGTTACAGAAACCAGATGGTTCGGACTTCTTGGCCTGGCGGAGTCCACCCGCACAGATGATGGCGATATGGGTCTGCTGCTACAACTGAATGGGTTTACTTAATCATACGTGCACGGGCGGGCACACACGCTTAAATACTGAGACGTGTAAATTTGTACCCTCGGTAATAACGTGCCGTCCTCTTCGTGGGTGTCTCATTGTTACAATGCCCTACAAAGTGCAAGAACCGCTTTGACGCAAACGTTCCGCACAGACCAGCCGCTTCTTCAATAACACACGTGGCTAAAGCCTACAATACCTAAAATGTTTGGACCACTCAAACCAAACGGTCTTCGTGCACATCTTTAGTGGTCAAATAACGAAGCAGTATCTCGTATAGGTCAATAACACGCTGACCGAAGCAACCAGGGTACTGTTTGACACCGGCTGTTTAGAAACGGTTCCCCACCCCGCAATTCGGCAGCGTGCAGGCCGCCTTAACAGCGTCATTTTGCAACCATCACTGGGACGGGAATACTACCACTTCACAGATGCGCCTCGTTATCCAATCATGCGCAAACCAGGGAAAGGAAATGGCGTACATTTAATTATTAATGTAAAAGTGTGTATCTGTGTGTACAAAAATAAATAAAATAGAGAACATGATATTTTTTATTAACATTTTAGATCTTCAATCACATCCATCCACTAGGTTTCAAGTGCAAATTCTATATATTGAATTTTTAATGTGCACGCAATTAACCCCGTGACATAAACAACACAAATTAAACTAGTATATGGATTCATGAAAAATTAGAAAACGCAATAAATGAGAATTCCAGCTCAGTTAGGAGTGCTAACTGTAATACTTGCAGCTGTAAACCTCCAACATCATGTCAAAATGTTATTGCTGTCCTATTTTTATTGCATCAAGCGAAATGTAATATTATCCAACATCATCAGTAATTTCTTTAAAAATTCTTATTAGCCCAAACATTTTCAGCTCAGCTGTTTTGTTCTGTGGACATAAATTAAAAATTTTACAATCTTTGTCGCTGCCCCTTGTAAGTGATTGGCTAATGTTTTTTAATGTTTAATGTTTTTTAAATGTTGTATTATCTCTGCATTAACTGTGTGTCCTTGGGTACCTATGAAATAAAATGTGTTATTATTAGCTACAATTGTAATTGTCCTGAACTGTAACGCATTTAATCATTTTAATACAAATTCAAAGCCAAGGAAAGATGTTTGAAAACTTTAATTGTTAAAAATGTACAGATCAACTGACAGTTGGCAGAGAATTTAAAACCATTTTGAGCTGCTTTTCTGTTCGATTAGAGACAATGATTTTTTAAGCAGGCAGAGTGCAAACAACTGGAGGTAACCAATATGAAAAAACTGAAAATCAGGTCTAAAGGACTAAAAAAAAAAAAAAAAAAATCGTTACACTAACTGAAGACTTTGATACGATTTCTCTTCACAAACTATTCTAATAATGAGTCTCAAACACTCGTCAGTGGCAGCAAATGAACAAACAGAAAACTTTTTGTCAACATGTTCAGCCTAAAATCAGTGTACTGACAGACACCAAGCATGTGCTACATGGAATTGAAAATTAATTATACATATATTTACAAACGGTCTTCTCTGCCTCCTCTCCCCCACTGTTAAGCTCTTCCAGTGAATCGATTTAAACCAAGTGGAATAATCATTTTAAAAGGAAAAAATGGACAAGAAATTAAAACTGAGAAGCAGCACTATCAATTTTCTTTTTAATTTTTTTTAGTTCTCTTACACATCAGTGTGCGATGGCCATCTTCTATACCCACACAAAGCGTTTGCAGTGAGCCACAGCCTACAAACACACAAACATAGTTGGTCAGAGTCTGCGTTCACTCGTATACTAAGAGGTAAAAATGAAGAGATAAATGAATTAAGACTTACGTTGCACTGAGTTGCTGTCAGTCTGTTCTTGCACCAGTAGGCAGGTCCCCAGCTGCACTGCTCTGTTCCCAACAGCCTCTGTTGTGCTTCAGAACATGCTCCCAATTTCTATGGAATGAAAAAAAACAATTCTGAAGTTAGCAACAGGGATTTGGTGTCAAATATGTTGAAATCTGTTGTTTTAACAATACTTTTGTTTCATGATCTGTAAAAGATATCTGCCACAGTCATTGTTTCTTTAAGAATATTTACTTTTCTCTGGGTGTTAATATGAAGGGGTTTTATTTTTACCGTGCAGACAAAATCAGGGTCAAGCATCTGGAGCAGCAGCTGAATCATCATTGGCTCATACTGTTCAACCAGCTGGTCGCACTGAGAAGGACAACAAGAGGGTCAATGCTCAGTGGATTCCTGCAGATGTGATGACAGAATGAAGGTTGGAGGTGTGAATCTCACCTCCGTCTGTACAGAGTCAGGCAGGAAGCTGCAGACTTTCCTCACAGCCTCCTGGATCTGCTTTTCAGTGGCATTCTTCTCCAGGATTTCATCGATGTAGGCGACAGCCGTCTTGCACACCTCACAGTAACCTCCAACCTTGAAGCGGGTTTGATCCAGAACAGCTGGAAAACAAGTCCGAAATTCACAGATCAAATGTTTGCTCCATGTTTGACACAAAAACTAGGATCTTTTATAGATGGTCAATCTATGACAGATCTTAGAGCACCCTCTACTGGAAAACATCAATACTACTACAGTTTATTTGATAGGAGGCCAACAACAATCATGACATCTTCACAATCTGCACCTCGATGTAAATTGTGCTACAGTCAACAACAACAACAACAAAACATTAATAGTGCATGTATTGCATTCACATGTTGACTGAAAACTTACGGATAAAAGCGCGATGAGCTTCCTTGCAGAGAGCCAACACACTGCAGACTGTTTTGGGGTCGGCCTCCTGCACCAGCAGCTCAATGATGGCTTGGCCGTACGTTTCAATCAGGTCCTTACACTCGGCACTGAGGGTGGAGGGCAGGTAGGTGCACACCTTCTCCACTGTCTGAATCACCTCCTCCTGACAATCAAACACCAGTCAGCTTCACATTCAAAATGTGCACTTTTTAGTGGTCCGATAAAAACTGTCATACTATTTCTAGTGTTTATTTAGTGATTTTATACAGAGCAAGAATTATTCTTAATTCTTCTTAATTGCTGGCCCAGATTTTGCCTTGCGGTCACTCTGTTTGAAGGTTGTGGGTACAGAGAGAGAGTCAAGTCAAGTTCAAGACAAACAGAAGAAACAGAAATAGGCATCTAACATACTGTATATAGATAAATCATAGAAACTCAATCCATCATCTTACTTGAATTTATTCTTACACCTTTCTCACCTCTGTAGTCTGATCCTTCAGCATGGCCTCCAGCTGCTTCATCACAAACTCACAGATGGCACACGTCGGGGAATCACGCACCCGCACCAGGGGCTGGAACATAAGGAGTAAATGTCTCATGTGAAATGTCTAGACCAGGGGTCACCAATGTGGTGCCCAGGGGCAACTGGTAGCCCCCATGGACTACTTAAGGTGCCCGTGGGGTATGTTCTCAAAATAAAACTAATCAACAAGATGGCAAAAGTTGTACTGTTTCTGTGCTTTTTCCATTCACTTACACTTACAAATGGCTTCAATGACAATGGTAAGAAGTGTCTACTATTGTATGTCCCAGAACTAATTATTATTTCATTGTTCAGGAAGTCTGTATCAAACAAGTAGCTCTTCGCCCTCTATTACTAAGCGCCCTTGAAGTAGCTCTCAGTTTCAAAGGAGTGGTGAGCCTTGCTCTATACCTACAACAGTGAGGAAGTCATTTTGCCCTTCAATCATTCTTACCTTAGCAGACTCCATTTTTGTGGCAGGCACAAGCTTAACAGCAGGAAGCATCTTTGCAGCCTGCAGCTTCATCATGGGGATGGATTCCTTCACAGCATCACAGAAGCCAGCATTGACACAGATTTCTTTGGGTTGCTGAGGAGAGGGGAAAAAAGAGTTCTTTTAGAATAAAGAAACAGCCATGCCACATGTGCTCAAAATAAAGGGCATGTTTTCAAACTGACAAGCACCACAGCATCACCACCCATGCATTTTTCAAGTCAAAAACAGTCTTGAGTACAAAACACAGGGAAGATGTTGGCATGCTGGCATAAAATTATTCTTCAAAATTCTAAAATTCTTCAGCTTAGAATCATATTTTAAACATAATGACAGTTTATGTGATGTTAATAACCAGTGTAGGACAAGACCTACTAACGTGACCCAGCATCAGCCAAACAAGCATTCTGATCTTCAAAAAAGTCTCTCTGCAGTGCAAGGTGGCAACTGTGTTAGAATGAACAGCACAGACAGCAGGAGCTAGTAGTTAAGAAGCTACAGGATGAACACAGAGAGACACCTACCTGTTCCTGCAGAGCAGCACACATAACCCAGAGCACAACAAAACAGAGCGAGAGAAAAAAAAAAAGTCAAGGAGGTGGAGGAGATGGAAGAAAAAAAGAAAACACAGAAACAAGAAAATGAAGTAAGGAATTGAAGGATATGAAAAAAAGTTTGCACAGAGAACAGCATTGAGTATAGGCCTGACATCAAAGTTTAGACCTGTTACCTTTGAGCAGCTAAATAAACTGGGTATAAAATCTGTGAATATTCCAGTCCATATACTGCAGCTTATGTCATCACAGAAAGTGACAGGTTTTGGACTCACCATGGACATGAGCTGCTCAACGAGAAGCGGGGCGTACTGAGAGACGTACTGCTTGCACTGCAATAAAAAAACAATAGGTTTTTACAATTTGGAGTAAATAATAATTATGTGATCAGAATACCAGAAATAAAAAGACACTTACAAGGTCAGCCATGCCTGGGCCAAGGTCGTCACATTGGCTCTCGATCTTCTCAATGAGATCGTTAACAAATGAGCTGTTAGTCTTGGCTTCAGACTGTGCATCAGTCAAAAACTTGACACAGTCCTGGCATACAACACTGTCTCCCTACAGGGTAGAAAAGACCTGGATTATGTAAGAGAAATTTTTAAAAAAAGTTTGTTAAATGCAAGTGAATATTGTGTACCTGAGCAGCTTCCTGTTTTGGTTTCTCCTGAGGATAAAGCAGCTGAGGAACATTGAGGAGGAATGGAGCAACTCTGTGGGAAAGATCAATCTGAGGGATTTCGTTGGACATGAGCTGCTCCTGCTGCCGGACCTCAACCTTTGCCATGGCTGCCTGCTGAGACTGACAAAGTCCAATGGCACCACAGGCCACACCAGGATCCTCCTGAGAACACAGATAGATAATGAATTTATATAACATCATATTATAGGAAAGACAATAAATAAACCCTACAGGAATTCCCCCATTCAAACCGTCAAAACATAAAGCTGTAATGTAGCAGCACTTCTTTATTCTACCTACATTTTGTCATAATTAAAAATCATTACATTTTTGTAAGGAAAATGACCTAGAGTGTAACTGCAGCTTTTTCCCAGCACAAGTATTAAAAGAGAGAAAAGCAGCATCTTGGCAGATGTGTATCTAATATCTATGGCACCTGATGTAGTAAAATTTATACTTCCAATTTATTAACTGTGGCATTCAGTGATACTTGTAAGTGATCTAAAATGGCTTCCCCACTCTACTTCCTCCTGCTGAGGCTGCAGCAGGTGACAGCTGAAATAAAGAAACCTACAAATGTTCACCCGAGCACAGGGTTTTTTTTTTTTTTTTTTTTTTACAATGACTGCTCTGTTCTCTTTTAGACTCAGAGTGTCTTCCTCATCAATAGCTCTCACTGACTTCACTGCACTTTGCTCAGAGCCACTTCTGTTTGTTTACTTGATTTATGTGACAAGCACAGTAAGATTTTTAAATGTCTGCTTAAAAAATGTCCATTATGACAGGTGTTTTAACTATGTTTCTGAATGTTTTGGGCCGGGGGGAAGATTACACACATGATATTTTATTAAGGACTTAAAGGTGCTCACCAGTTCTCCTTGAATGATTCCTATGATGATGGGGAAGTAAGTGTCCACCAACTCCTTGCACTCTGCGCTCAGATTGGGGTCAGGGAGGAGCTGACAGGCTTTCTCCAAATACCCAAGAATCATATCCTGAGATCACAGATATAACAGGTCATTTCAAATGTTTTTTGAAATACAGTGAAGTTGATATTTTTGTCAGTCTTACCTCAGTGGCATTGTCCTTTAGCTCCTGTTCCACCACTATTAACACCTCTTTGCACAGATCACATGGCACTGATTTCTGAAAACAAAATAAAGGAAATACTTGTTTAAAGACAGGATTAAACACAAAAAGATAATTAGACCGTTTCAGATGAGAGTGTGTGCTACGCCTGTTATAAAAAGAGTTTGAATCATCACCAACAAATAAGTAAATTTTATTGACTACATACACTTAAAAATTATAATCTCACCATTTGGGGCTTGTTCCACACGTTCTGCTGGCAGTGAGTCACAGCTCCACACAGAGACGCTGCTTTTACATTCTGACACCAGTAGGGGGGGCCACGAGCACACTGCTCTGTGCCCAGCAGGGGGGTCGCAACAGCTGCAGAGTAAATTCAATTTATACATGTTTACATCGAAAATTAAAAGAGAAAACTAGTACAAACGCAAAACATCTGTTTACTCTTTGAGTCTCTACTCACATAGGCTACAGCATACAGCACATTAAAGTGTTATAAATGGTTTGTTTTCAAAAACAAAGTGAACATAAGAGGAACCATGAATGTTATCAACTTCCCTAAAATATTCAAGAGAGAAGCCTGACAATCAACACAAGTTTCAAGTCAATTCACACTTTGTTCTCAAGGTTGAACACTTAGCGAAGTGAAACAACAGCTTCCCTTTGCAGCTGTTTCGGTTTTTCTGGTCAGCACAAACGTTTATTCCTAGTTGAAAATGTTTTTACTTTTGTACCAGAGTAGATTAGCTCTAAGAACCTGCTCTATACAGCAACAAGCTCAAGCACCAACTTGAACGAGACCCTTTGACTCAGCGTACGTAAACACTCTCTTCTCTGGTCACATGAGCAGTCGGACTCAATAACAAGCTGTTCTAGGACACAGAGTGGAGGACATCAGTCGCCTAAACTGGGCCATAAACCTTTAACAGAGAACAAGCAAACTCATCCATAAAAATCACTAAACACTAAAGACTTGCTGATGTTAAAACATTGACAAAAATTATCTTTTATGAGCAGCCTGCAAGGAAACTGTTATTGCCTCATTTTTAAAAAGTGGTTGTGAAACCAAAAATCTTTATTGACAGTCATCATCATGTGACAAGAGGTACACACACAAGGATTTAATGTGAATATATTTTGTGTTAAGTATGTAAAATGAAAAAAATCTCACCACCACTGTATGATTAACACTTAAAGGTGTTAGGTGCTTTTCCATTTTTGCATTGCAAGATTGTGTAAGTGGGGCATGATAATAAGTCAACACACCACACATGCACACATCAACGATTTATGAATTACCTAATGGCCACATGATGGTTGAATGAAACTTTTACAATATTTCAGGGACCCATTAAAACCAACAAAAATCCTCAAATCCTTTCATCTGTGGCAGTGAATTCAGAATGGAAACTTTAGGACTAGGTGCACTGGAACACTTTCTCTTTTGATTGGAAAAGTGTCAAACGTTACAACAATAGACCTATAAAAAGTTATTTGTCAGCTGACAGAATGCGGAAACTCTGTTTATGGTTAACCTTGTTTTAAACACACAACAAAAGAAAGGTTCAACATTTATCTACATAAGTTCATAATTAGTACATAAACCAACTGATAATATTGACAAAACATTGATCAAAATAGACTAAATAAATACTGTTACAACCCTAATATTCAGTAAATAAAGACACTTCATAAATGTCTTTGAGCACTGCATTTCATTATCCTTTTCAGCAGTATTACTGAGTTGTGTTTCTGTGTCGGACTGCTTTGTTTATCCCCTGCTAGATGTGTTGAGTTTTCAAAAACAGGCAAGAATTTTAATACATTTTTGAGGAGGCTGACTATTTATATAGTATTTGTGGGAACATGTAATTTATTTTCTGGTTTGTGTTCTAAGAACAGCAGCCTGCCGAGAATTATTTTTAGAACTACTTTTTTTAAATATTCTATTAAATATACCATACTGTAATTTCCCAACCCGGGATCAATAAAGTAAATCTACTTACTTATTTATCTATCTATCTATCTATTTATCTAAAGTATTATTTATATCGAATGCACACGTCCCATGTCCCTTGGAAAGATATGAGGATACTTATCCAAGTTACATTAAACATGTTCTCTAAATTAACATATTCCATATTTATCAAGTTTGTATTGCGCCCTAAAGCTGCATGACCCAAATTCAGCTAGTCTTCCCCGTTTTACTTTACAAACTTTACGACAGTTGGCAGCTTTAACGTGAGTATGTTTTTAAATGTTCTTAATAATCCCCTCTAAACGACGGGTCGAAGATGAAAGTCGAATAATGGACACTAACCTGCTTAAAATGGGTCACAGTTTCACCGAAAAATGTAAATGGTTATTCTTATGAAAGCACCGCGAATTTAACACATTCACATTCTTAAACCGACTTCCATTTGTTAAATTCTCTCCTTGTTATTCAAATTTAAACCCAGACACGAAACAAAAGTTGTAACGTTACGTAGTTAGCATGCTGAGCTAACATGCTAACGCCCCAACAACAAGGCAGCCGACACTGATACACTGTTATTGTCTGAACATTTAAATATGCAATTTTATACATTTGGTACATATTTAATAATAAGGGCGATTAGCGCCTGTTTTCATAATCAACTGTAAAGCCTACGTTTGTCGTTTAAATAAACAGCTAAAGCTAAAGTGGGTTACTTCGTGTTTCCCCGTATGACATTGCTACTAAATGTAATTTTACGGTATTCTTTCACTTTACATGACAACGTTTAGTTTTAATCCAGCACAGACACACTACATTTAGTGTTTAACATTACCTGCAGACGCGAAAAAAAGAGCTAAAAACAGCATGACTGCGCCGTTTTCGTTGGGCTCGCCTGTGGTGTTTATCTTCGGTTGAGCTCTGAGGAACAGGAAACGCTGCTCTGCAATGCAGCCAGTGGAGGCTGTAGATGCCTTTATGATGCCTCACTGTCAGCCGACTGCTCGGCCACACACGTGACTCTGCCTCCCTCTTCCTTTGTATAATAACCAAAGGCTCTAGAAATGTTACATACTGTACACAGATACCAGCATCCAGCGCCGAAGGACGGCTTTTAAAGCCGTAGTTTATGAAGTAAAAAATAAAGACAATTTAATACCTCGAAATTAATATCTTCCTTTGTCACCTTAAGTCGGCCCTAAAACTTTACGGTGGTGTTCTTTGTTCCTTTTCTCTTTGAAGTGGACAACAGCTCAAGGAACATCACGTCATATTAGTTTTCCAAAGAGTTTGTTACATTCCATACATATGTAACAATAAACAACACACAATGACTGGAAATTTAATTTAATTCATCATCAACAACGAAAATAATTTAAACAATTAAACCAGTAAATTCCAATGCATATCAATTTTGAACCAAGTAAAAAAAAAGCAAACTTTTAATAAAATCATTGTCAAAGAAGCCTGTACACTGAGTGTTTTTAAATGAGTAAGGACATTAAAGTCTTTTTGTGACTTTAAATGTGTAATGCCTGTCATTTCTATAATTTGTTCATTTTTGTTTGTTGTTAAGAAGTTGTTCTCAAATCTCAATTATAGAGAATGTTTTGTAATTAAAATACAAAAGAATGTAACTGGGTGTAATATTGAAAGCAAAAAAAGTTTTAATTGACATTAATAAATATTTTTGTGCTTTACCTTAAATACACTTTTTAAAAGCAGACAAAACTGTAGTTTTTGAAAGCACTTCAACCTGGAGTTTTTAAGGTGAAAACAATTTAAAGTTTTATTTCAACCTAACATCTAAAAGACAGGAAATCAAAAGAATATAGTTTGCAGCTTTAATTTTTTTTTATTATTATAACACAATATCAAAATTGCTTACAAGTATCTATGACTTAATGAAAAGACAGAAGCCCCGTGAGATGCAGCATGTGGAACTGAGTGTTGAACCCTGTAAAACAAAAGAACATGTATTACTAGTGTAATAAGAAAGCACACTCAGCAAAACACACACTCAGTTCCATTAAATGTATTGGCATCTGACACAAAATGCATTAGGCCAATTTTAGAGCTGATACTGGATTTCTATCAATGATAATTTAACTGAAAGAATGCACAAATTGTTTTGCAGAAACAAAGTTGATAAAAATGCAAATTTACCTCCAGATAGGTAGCAATGTGTTTCTTTAGGATTAAAACTCTTTTATCATGTTTTGGTCTGTCAACCACTGATCAGCGTCCTAAAAAATAAAAAAATTCCAAAAATACACACAATGGCCTACAAAAGCTCAGTGTTTTTTATGCTTAAAATTAATAAAAATATTTTTTGGAAAGTAACATAATATACTAATAATTTTATGAAAAAGTCTTAAAAAATAAAAATAATTCTTTGTTGCCTCAACCATTGATCCAAGTATAGATCAAAGGTTGACGGAGTGTTGAGTTTCTGTAGATGACAAGCAAACACAATCCTGGTCCTGAGTGGTCAAACGTGTTTTAGAAAAAACAAAACTACGAGCTATATCCATCAGCTACAGCTGTACTGTGTGTGCCCTGCTTACACCAGGTCACTGTTGTGATCCGCAGCAGTTGCTCCGTGGAACCTGGGCGTCCTTCTTCAACACAGTGGGCCTCACCACGTCCACGTCACGGTGCAGGTGATTTAATAAAGCCGGGAGGATGTCAGGGGAAGCGTGGAAGTCCACCATAAAGTAACCCCCTCTAGCATGCCTCTCACCGTGTTTGGTGATCTGGTAGGGTAACAGTCTTTCTCCCAGGTTCTCCAGGTTCCTCACCACAGCTCCACGCTCCATTAGAGTCTCCACAGTCCGCCGGAGAAGAGCTGCCGTTTCAGGCCGCTGCATTGTCTTCACAATCAGAGCGAGCTCATAACGAGGCATGACTATAGCCAAACAATCTTCAAAACACAACTTTAAATTCGCTGTTTCTATTTCTTTGTCAGATTCTTCATTCTAAGCTCCAATGACAACCGCTGTGCGACACGAGGGACACGAAAGGCCTTTAGTGATGACGTAATCTAAATGCGACAAATAAAACGCACAAACGTTTTTGAACTAACTAATGTAATAATAATAAAAAATAATAATGATAATAATGACGATGGTGTTCTCTATGTATTGGTGCCTTTTTGCAGTAGATATAAGATAGTAATAAAAATACATCGATTAATTATGTTGTTTGGTGGTATTTTAAAAGCCAATCTTGTAGTTATGATCCTACAGCAACTAAATGAACTAGCACATTGACCCGTAGACGGGTATAGAGAAATACTTCTACACGTTTTCCAACACCGCAAGATCGAGTATTTTAACAAAGATTTTGAAAAGTAATGTAACATCAATGTTCAATAAAAACATTTATAGGGGTTATTCTGACCGTTGTTGGTGAATGCGTTGAGTTTTGCTGTGTCACAAATATATTTTCCGTCTGATAAAACTGAAAATCTTATTATTAAACATCTATTAAAATGTGCGGGGGGGGTATACAGCAAAAAATTTAAATAGTCTCCGTATCAATACATAAAATAAAATTTCTTGTATTTTATTTATTTGTTCATTCATTTATTTTTTATGTCTTACAAAACTTGTTAGATCCCGTTGTTTAAATGGAGCAGATTCCTTCGGTCTTAAAAAGTTCACCAACGTCATCATTGCGCGCCGCGTTTCGTGTACTTCCTTCCAGAAAGAGCGTGGTAAAGATGGCGGAGAAGAACGCAGTGCCGAGTGATCTTTACAAAAGTGTGTATTCATTCCTGCGGGATAACAAGTTCACCAAGGCGGCGCAACAATTTCTGAAGCAGACAAAAGTGGTAAGATGTTCACTTCGTGCTTTTCACAGCTGTAGGAGAGCAATGTCTTGTCCACAGACGTAGACGGAGGTAGCTCTGAACGTGGCCGAGACGTAAGCACGTGTGGAAGATGGACAAGAACAGTGTTGTTTATTGTTAAATAATGACTAAACTTACTTCATAAAGAGTTAAATTGATCGCTGTTGTATAAACGTGTGTTGTCTGCTGGGGATTTAGAATTGAATTGGTAAACACATGGAAATGTGCGTGACTGAAATGGCTGTAAATGGTTGTAAATATCGTGTTTTCTCTGCTACAGACCCCTCAAGATGAAAATGAAGAAAGTCTCGTCAACATCTTCAATTTCTGGTTAAAGTGAGTTTACTGTTATGTTGAATGCATTACCAACTTGGCTTAATAATTAGGTATTATACATTAAGGTATTTCAAATACCACCCATTCATCTTAAGATCAGCATTATGAAATCAGATTATGTGAAAATGTTGAAGACATACCATATACCAAATGTGCATACATTTGTGCATACATTTGGTATATACCCATATATTGCAAACCCTCCCCCAAGTGTCTAAAGAAAACTAGAGAAGCACAGGCTTATACTCAATAAAAGTTAATGTTTCCAGTCATTTATAAGTGGATTTTTATATGGATTTTATTTCCATCCTCCCATGGCCTAAAACTTTTGAATACTATTGTACATGACACATTAAATGGCACTGATAGTTTCTCACCTTGCTGTCACTATGGGTCTTCCTAGGTCCCCTGAGGCCAAGAAAAGAAAAGCTCCTCCGTCTTCAGCTAAGAGTAACGGTCCTTCGGCCAAAAAAGCCAAAACCACGAAAGAGAGCTCCAGCAGCGATGACTCTAGCAGCGAGGAAGAACCAGCTGCAAAACCAACCAAAGCAGCTGCTGCTGGTAATAACACTGAGTGTTTTTTTTTTTTGTTTTGTTTTTTTTTACAGCCTAATTCTAAAGCCTTGTGTTTTGTAGCACCTAAGGCAGTTCCTGCTAAGGTAGCATCAGCATCTGCTAAGGTAGCAGCAGCATCTGCTAAGGTAGCAGCAGCAGCATCTGCTAAGGCAGGATCCAGCAGCAGTGAAGACAGTGACTCGTCTGAGGAGGAGGAGAAAAGGGCTCCTGCAAAGGTAGGGAAACACATGACTGTAGCTTTTTGTTGCTGCAGTGTTTAGGTCTCTGAGCTCTCAACGTATGCTCTGCTACAGGCTCCTGTGAAGCAGGCTGCAGCCACACCTGCTGCAGGCAGCACAAGGAAGAAAGACAGCAGCTCCAGCAGTGAGGAATCTGACTCTGAAGATGAACAACCTGCAAAAAGCCCGGCTATAAGTATGTCCATTACCTTGCCATTACCAGATCTTCCTGTGGAGCTTTCATTGATTTTCATCATTAAAAGGACAGTATGTTAGATTTAAACTGTGGTCTTCTTAGAGGGTGGGTCTGCAACAGTAAGATGAAATTAAATTGATGCATATTCTAATGAATCCCTAGCATCCTATTGAAAATCCTTTGGGTAGTTGACAGTTCTTGTTAGTATGTGGTGGTCCGTGTTTGTAGTATCATGTAGGAGAAAATGTGTTTATGTTTAAGGTAATTTACTGAATTATTTGTTCTCTTTTGTGCATTTAAATTTGATTATTATCAAATTCTGACTAAACAGAAACCACTTCTGGTGCAGCAGCAGCAAAACAAGCTGCTACTGCTAAAGGTGCAGCTCAGAAAAAGCAGGAGAGCAGCAGCAGTGAGGACAGCTCGTCTGATTCTGAGGATGAACAACCAACCAAGGTGTGCCAAAACGTCATACTTGCATACTTGATTTATTCTGATATAATAAATATGAATAATGCTGACCTACTGCCAGTCAGTCATATGGTCAGTATTGGTGCACATGGGACACACATTCCATATGTTCCCACAGGCTCCAGTCAAACCAGCCCCCGTGAAAGCAGCTGCACCTGAATCAAGCAGTGAAGATTCTTCATCTGAAGATGAGGCTCCGCCTTGCAAGAAACCCAAAGCAGGTCTGTTATACTTTTCCTATATTACAGTTTCTTCTCTCTAAATCAGTCAAACATTTGTTCTTGGACTTTCTATTGTAAATCTTACTAGAGTTCCTGTAGTGACCTGGACTTAAATATAATTGAATTTTTAGCATTTCTTATTTCTTATTAGAGTCTTACGTTCAAGTCTATCCTGGTATAATAATTACTAGTATTAAAAACCACCCAGAGACCTTCTTTAGATCACATTTCTGAACGGTTGTTTTTTTTTTTTTGTTTGTTTTGTTAGGATCATACAATGCTGTACCCCCTCCTCCATCAGTCCAGACATCAGCAAAACCTGCAGCTGCGGCCAAACCTGCCGCAGCCAAACCTGCCACAACAAAAAAAGAGTCCAGTTCTGAAAGCTCAGGTAAGAATTAGAGTGTGAGAATCACCCCCACACACACACACTCCTGTGAGCTACTATCAGGGAAATGATGTACAACCATGGTCCCTTTTAGATTCAAGTTCAGATGAGGAGGCAAAGAAGACCCCAGCTAAACCTGCCCCAGCTAAACCTGCCCCAGCTAAAGCCACGCCTTCTAAAAAAGAGGACTCTGACTCAGATTCATCAAGTTCAGAGGATGAAGAAGAAGCAAAGAAAACTGCAGCAAAGCCAACTCCAGCAACAAAGAAGGTTGCTGCGAAACCTGCACCTGCTAAAACTCCCCAAACAAAAAAAGCTGAGTCCTCAAGCTCAGGTAAGATATGACATAAATCAATTATTGATCTGAAATAACTTTTTGCATTACTGAGCAAATTCAACTTCTCTCAGATTCAGATAGCAGCTCAGAAGATGAGGCTCCATCAAAAACTGCCACTAAAACTGTGGCCCTTCAAAAACCAGCTGCTCCCAAAGCCCCAGTCAAGCCTGCAGAGAGCAGCTCAGATTCTGATTCGTCTTCTGAAGATGAGGAACCATCAAAAGCCAAGCCTGCTGCAAATAAGACATCAACCCCAGCTTTAAAAACAACAGCCAAGCCCTCAACCCCGGCTTCAAAGCCTGCTACACCTGCATCTAAACCTGCTGCAGCAGAGGAAAGTAGTTCTGACTCAGACTCATCCTCTGAAGATGAGAAACCAGCCAAGGCCAAGCCTGCTACATCTAAGCCAGCAACCCCTGCTTCAAAACCTGCTACTCCTGCATCTAAACCTGCAGCAAAAGATAGCAGTTCTGACTCTGATTCTTCTTCTGAGGATGAACAACCTGCAAAGTCTAAACCTGCAGCAGCTAAACCAACAACCCCTGCTTCAAAACCTGCTATGCCTGCAGCTAAAGCAGCCCCTGCTGCAGCAGAGGAGAGCAGTTCTGACTCCGATTCATCCTCAGAGGATGAAAAAACAGCTAAAGCCAAGCCCGCAGTAGCTAAAAAAGCAGCCCCCACTCCAAAACCTGCTACCCCTGCAGCTAAACCTGCTCCTGCAGCAGCAGAGAGCAGTTCTGACTCAGACTCATCCTCTGAGGATGAGGAACCAGCTAAAGCCAAGCCTGCAGTAGCTAAAAAAGCAGCCCCCACTCCAAAACCTGCTACCCCTGCAGCTAAACCTGCTCCTGCAGCAGCAGAGAGCAGTTCTGACTCAGACTCATCCTCTGAGGATGAAGAACCTGCAAAGTCTAAATCTGCAGCAGCCAAACCCCCCACTCCTGCTGCAAAGCCAAAAACCCCTGCTTCAAAGCCCGCTACTCCTGCAGCTAAACCTGCCCCTGCTGCAGCAGAGGAGAGCAGCTCAGATTCTGACAGCTCAGAGTCTGAGACTGAGGCCACCAAACCTGCAGTGAAAAAGCAAACTCCAGCTAAAGCAGCAGTGAAACCTGCCCCTGCTGCAAAGACTCCTGCAGACTCCTCCAGTGACGACAGCTCCAGCAATGAGGAGGAGGAACCCAAGAAGGCAACACCAGCCCCCAAGCCTGCAGCAGCAAAGAAGAAGGAGAGCAGCTCCGAGTCTTCAGACAGCTCTGATTCTGAAACGGAGTCCAAGTCCACGCCGGCTAAACCTGTCGTCACAAACGGCAAAGCAGCGACACCTAAAATGACCCCTGCAGCAGCTAAGACTCCAGCAAAGCAAGAGTCGTCATCTAGTGAAAGCAGCTCTGAGGAGGAAGAAGAAACAAGTAAAGACACCAAAGGACAAACACCTGCTGCGAAAGCAAAGACGACTCCGGTTCCTAAACAGAAAGAGAGCAGCAGCAGCAGCTCTTCAGACAGTTCGTCAGATGATGAGGCACCCCAGAAAGCAGCCACAGCTCCCGCTACACCTGCAACCAATGGTAAATGACCTACAAGTTACATGAGATAATCCACCGTTAATGAAGAGCACACCTATAATGACTCTAATACGTCAGAGTCTAATACTACTAATACTAATTTTAGGTACAAATGGAAAGACAAATGATGAAGAGTCTTCAGAAAGTGAGGAGGCAGAAACACATGTTAAAACGCCAAAAAACAAAAAGGCAACAACCACACCTCAGACTTTCCCTAAAGCCAACAGAAAGGTAAGACCTGTGACTTGGGCTGTGCTCTCGGGCTGTGTTCACAATTGTCACATTTGGTCCGGTTAAAAAAAAAAAAATGGTGTTGATTTATCAGTAGGCTTGGGAAAGGTCGGTTCCAAAAACTGCACTAGATTTTTGCAAACATTTGAGTTGTTCTACATTCAGTGCAGAGCATTGAGACAGAAAATTAAAACAGATCCTGTCCACTCTCGAGCTGCTTATTATCATTTATATTCTCATATTGAAAATGTACTAAACCTGATTTTAACTTGTCCTGCAGTCCAACGTACCATTCCGCAGAATAACAGAGGAAAACATTGACGTAGACCCCCGTCTTGCTGACAACTCCTTCAAAGCAAAGGTGAGTCAAGTGCAACTTTAGTGTTCCTTTAAGGTAAGAAGGAAAAAAAAACATTTTAATATTATGTTCATTTTTCCTCCTCTGAAATACTAGCTAGGAGCCAGAGGAGACTGGGGCGAGAAAGCCAACGATGTGCTTAAGTTCACCAAGGGCAAATCATTCCGCCACGAAAAGACAAAGAAGAAGAGGGGGAGCTACCGCGGCGGCAACATCTCCACCACGGTCAACTCCATAAAGTTTGACAGTGACTGAGCAGCAGCAGCATCGCATCACACTTGAACTGTACTGTCCCTTAAGTGATAAAACTAAACTCTTATTCCCACGTCTACATCCTGTCTGTCTGTCACTGCCGTCCATCAGCTCAGTGACGGCCCAGAGATGAGCTGGTTGTTCAGCTGCCCTGTGTGTTTGTTACACAGACAGCTTGTTTGATGTTGTAGCAGTAGGAGGCTGTAACACTGCTCTAACTGCAGAATCAACTGTTTCACATCTGTACCAATTACAGTTATGGCCACTAGGTGGCAGGCTCTTAATTCTGAAAGTCCTGTTTCAGGTTCCCCATTATTTCCGATGGCGACAATAATGTGTATGTTGGACAATTTGTGTAAAACATTTTTGTAACATTTCAGTTATTTTTTTGAATGGTGTCCAATCCAGTTGAGTTCCAGTTTTAATAGTTTAGATTCCGTGTGGTTGACTCTTGATTGTTGGGTGTGTACCTGGGCTTCTTTTCTTTACTTAACATTTAGTGACCTGAAGTTGATTTTACTGTGTATTTATTACTTTTTATTCCAGTAAGACCATTCAGACCTTATGATCATGGAATGTTGGAGCCATTTTTTTGTCTTTTGTTGTGGATGATAGAACACCACATCAGCCCCTCAGCATTCTGTTTAACAACTGTTATCATTTGCAAAAGTTACAGAGCCATTTTTTTTTTCATTATCCAAATCATTTGTACGAATGTTAATGACTATCGCTTTGTGTAGCTGTAATTAAAAAGCTAACAGACCCAATATTGGTGTGACTGAAAAAATTACCTTGTTTTTCTCAGTCAAGTCCCTTTAAGATGGCAGCATTTTACCACTTTAAGTAATTTACAGAAATTAAAAGTATCCAAAAAACGAACCACACACTGGAAGCTGAAAAGAAATAATTCAATGGTTAAAAAAAAAACTCAAAGGATGAAGCAAACATTTGAAGGACTAGCTAATTATTTACAAAATCAATTAAAATCCAACTAAATAAATAATTTGGATTAAAAGTTTAGACAAACTGGCAATGAATAGCTTAAAGTAGCCTAAACACGCCTTGCCAAGTGCACAAATTGCTTTTAAAGTCATCCAAAATATACCAATAAAATGTGTCAGTGTCCTGAATACGCACCTTAGAAGGCCTTCATTAACTCAAAGGAGATTCAACTTTTCTTGATCGAATAAAATGGAAAAAAATTGAAAATATTTTCAATTTTTTACCGATTTTTTTTACCGATTTAAACGGTAACTACTGACCGCAGGGCTGAAGGACTTTCAGACACTGAAGTCGTCTGATTAAAACACTAGATGGCAGTGCAGTACTTGATTCGTGCACCGGCTTGTTTCGTTACCTGTAAAAGTTGACATTAAAGAACTACAGGTCACTTAGAAAGGCACAGCAACGGAAAGAGTACATAATGAACCTGTGGATCAGTTGTCACAGTGTGTGTAACTTGAAATAAAATTTAAAGTGGTTCCAGACACGAAAAGTCTTCAAACTTCTAGTCTTCATAAAAATCTTTTTGTTTTTCTAAATTTGTGCACTGATATAACAAACCTCACCAAATGATACCAATACCAACATCAACTACCTGTTAATTTTAACTGTCAAACATTCTTTATTCCTACTGTAGTGATAGTGAATGTTAAGTATTCCAGACGTAACCATTCAAGTCTATTTACTGCCGCAGCACGTAGACACATACGTTTATTATAGCTGTATGAGCTCACAAGGCATGACGTATTACACATGACAAGCAGCTTAATGAATGCACTCGCTGCATTCAGTGACCTACAGTAAAAGAGGCCTTACTTCATGTCTGATCTGAACAGCATGTGCACTGTCATAACTGTTTTAGCTGTACATTAACTCAAGGGTATCTAAAGATGTGTTGACTCAGGGCGGGGCTGCTGGGGGTCTGACAAACCAGACAACAGCAGGCTGATCATTTTGACAGTGTGTGTTTTCACCATGGGTTTTCATGGCTGAATTGCTCCAAGGCAGGGAGGGAGGAGCCGTTCTGTTAGTGGAGCTGTTACTGGGCGGGTTGCCAGATCAGTCTGGGTGTATCTACAGGTTCTACAGCCCGTGACAGAGTGACTTTAGTCTAAACACTGTCTACCAGTCTATATTCTTTGAAGCTTAATTACAGATGATTTCTTTTATGAATTAATTAAAAATGATCACACAGAAGTTTGCACAGCCACTCATTCTTTAAAAAGACCCCACAAGACTGCTTTTCTGATTGAATTATAAATGCCATCGGATTTGTGTTGTTATTGGACAATATTTGACTGCAACCTGGTCAAAACGTCTTTACCCCAAGATTCTTTTTAGAACATGTGATGAGGCAGTGAATACATTAAATTTATTTTGTGACAGAGACATCTGAATTAGTTGGTAACTATTGCGCTGAGCTTGGGGCAGTACACCACTAATATGTTGAGACAAAAATTCAATTATAATATTAAGAAAAATCACACTGCATGACTGCGAGATAATCCTGCTCTTACCTTGGTACTCTTTTCTTCTTCTTTGTGTTTTACCTGCAGCTTAGCATTCTTTGGATTGCATTACTGCTGATTATTTGGT